AAGATATATTATAGTAAACATCATTATCAAATAATAATTTTTCTTTATGTACAACAATTACATTACTATACTATCTATTACAAACAATAAAAATTAAAATATTTACATTTCTACATATTCACCACCGATTACATGACTTGTTTTTCATTTTGGGAGTGCAAGGTAATCAGCTACATCCAAATGCATGAAGTCTAAATTATCTTCAGAAATAAAATTTGCTTCAGCATTTTTCTCTGCCTTCTTTAGGAAGGCTCGATAAAGCTCAACCAGGTGCTTTGGCGTACGGCAAGTACGTGACCAGTGCCTTTTTTCTCCACATCTATAGCATGCATTTTCTGCATTTGGTGCTTGCACCGCTTCATGTTTTTGTTCCTTCCTTTTCTATTGCTGGTGGTGAGGAGGGTTCTTTGGTGCATTATTATTACCATGATTAAAATTTATTCCCCGACCACGGCCATGACTACGACTGGGGCCACAACGTCTTCCATGTCTAGCTTGGTGGAAGTTCGTCTCATTCACTTCAGGGAATGGACAAGAACCAGTAGGTCGGCTTTCATGGGTTTTCATTAATAGCCTATTATGTTGCTCGGCTATAAGAAGATGTGAGATAAATTCAGAATATTTTTTAAATCCCATCTCTCGATATTGCTGCTGCAGGGCATATTCGAGGCATGAAAAGTGGTGAAAGTTTTCTCCAACATATCATGATCAGTAATATTATCACCACATAATTTCAATTGGAAAATAATTCTGGACATAGCAGAATTATATTCACTTATATATTTAAAATCTTGTAGCCTTAGATGAGTCCAATCATAACGTGCCTTCGGAAGAATGACCATCTCCAGGTGGTCATATCTATCTTTCAAATTATTCCATAGTATGACTAGATCTTTAATAATGAGACCATTTTCAGGCCCTCATCAAGGTGATGACGTAGGAATATCATTGTTTTGGCACGGTCTTGGTTTGATGCCTGATTTTTATCCTTGATGGCGTCTGCCAGACCTATCGCATCAAGATGAATTTCAGCATCAAGCACCCAAGACATGTAGCTTTTGCCTGATATATTCAGGGCTACAAATTCAAGTTTAGAAAGATTTGACATTATATAGAAAAAGAAAGTTCGTACCTCAAATACTTTCAAAGTATTTGCTCGAGATGGTAGAGTCTCGTGCTGATAACGTGTTATAAAATAAAAATTGTAAAGTAAAGATAAGTATATAGAGAAACTGATATATTATTCGAATTCAAACTGATGTACATAATGAATTGAAATCTCTTCTATTTATAGAAGAAAGGAAGCTGTTGTGTAAGCTGCTACGCAAGCTGCTGTGTAAGCTGCTACTGCAAGCTGCTACTGCAAGCTGTTGTGTAAGCTGCTACGCAAGCTGCTACTACAAGCTGTTGTGTAAGCTGCTATTATACCAGATATGGATAATCTTCTACTGAGAGCAATGTTTATCCATAACGGAGTACTGAATGGATAAGCTTATTATATCCGGTATGGATAATCTTCTACCGGGATAATATTTATCCATAACCGGATACCGAAGTGATAAGCTTCTTCAAGAAGCTTATTTCCAATAGAGTACTAAATAGATAAACATATTTATTGCGGAGTCCCATATGAATAAGCTTCTTCAGGAAGCTTATTTACAACGGAGTACTAAATAAACATCCCTAATATAATATATTTATAAAAAAGTAAAGCATTTCCTTAAGGTCAACAACTCATGCACAAAATCGTACCTAACAACAATAGGGGATAATAAATAAAAGAAAAAGAAAAGGGAAACACATGACTGAGTAATAATATCCTAGAGATAATACTGCTATTATAATAACATCCATGCAACGTGGCCTCATAAGGAGGCATTTCATGGAAATTTCATGCCTTCCCATTAAATATGCTTTACTACTTTTCTTGTTCTCTCTTTTGATTTTGCTATTCTAACGTTAAAGCTGGACGAGATCATGTAGTAAATATCTATTCGCGTCCGATATTTGCATCAAATTAAGTAACTTGATCTTGATAGTTTCTAAAAATTAAAGAAAGAAGATATAATTATTTAACTGATAAATATATTTTATATTTATTTTGCTCGATATAAATATTTAGCAGAATTTTCATAAACCACTATAGATTTGAGCCTAGTAAATATAATTTGCCTAATTACTATTCATGAGTGTACACAATGAATATAATATGTATCGAATGTATTTGTTCGCGCAACGAATACAACTAAGGCGAAATACAAAAATACAGAAAATAAAATGATTTTGTTGAGAGTCGAACTCAAGACTTCCGTTAGCTTAGCAAACGCTCTAACCAACATTTTAGTTTAAAAATTAAGCTCTTATTTCATGGATTTGTTATAAAAATTTAAATATAATACAAATAATAAATTAGTTGAAAGTACAGCTACCAACGAAAAATATAATGTAAATATTTAAATGTTTAATGTGTCGCCTAATATTTTTTTTACGGGGTGAGAAATGTGGAGCCCAAAATGGTCCACTGCTTTGCTGGCTACAAGCTCTCCATTGTTGGTTTTTAATGGGATTTGTCTGCTGTAAGAGACCATAGTTTTAGTTTGGCCTAATTTTGAATAAATAACACTCTCCTCTCTTTTTTCTCCCTCTCAATTTGATCACTATTTTTTCACTCTTCTCTCTCTCTCTCTATGTTTTTTCTTGAATCACTTCAGCATCTTCATCCTCAAAGAAAATTTAGAGAAAAAAACAAAAAACTGTACAAAATCCCACTTTATTTTCCCTTTGATTTGATGGTTTCACAGATCTAAACAACCCCTTTCACTTTCAGATCTTCAAATGTAAGTATTTTCTTGTTATTTTCCTTTTGAACTTCTCTCTGTTCCTGCTGATACTTTCTGTTCAGCTATATCACACTACTAATTGGTTTCAAATATAGTACACTTATTTGTGATTCTTGAAATTTGGCTAGTTAAGAAAAAGTTTGTCTTTTTATACTTTTTTTTCAGTTTTAATTTTTTTTTCTTTGCCAAAATCAGACCTTCTGGATTCAAACTAGCTGACAATATTGTTCTATGTTGAAAAAACTGAATTTTACTACTTTGAAAGTCTTTTTTTATATTTTGGTTGAATTTTTCTGTTATAAGTACACCACAAATCAGTTTTGGCATTTGCATCAGCTTTGTTAGAAGTTTTAAACTAGAGGTGTCTTCTTGGTGTATTATTATTAGTATTACAAAAAATGCAAAGTTGAGATTTTTAAGAGCAAAGACCACTTTGAAAGTCCTTTTCTTTGTATTTTAATTGAATTTTTTCATTTTTGAAGGCATTTGCATCAGTTTGGTTAGAAGTATTAAACTAAAGGTGGTTTCTTGGTGTATTATTTGATTGTTGGGTGCAATTTTCAAGATTTTGCCAATTTCATTATTTTTCTAAATCTTACTTTTTGTCATTGGTAGTGTTATGCACTTATAGATTTACAACGAATGCAAAGTTGAGATTTTTAAGAGCAAAAGTGGAACTGAGTCCTGTTAGATGTGGAGAAATTGGAGGGTCTTTTGGATGAGATGAGGTATGATATCTGGTTTGATGAATATCTTAAGGGCTTGTTTTCAGCCAAGGGCAGATGGACATGTTCATACAAGTTCAGATGCCGCCGGTCGCCAAGATGGTCTCTTATGGTATAAGGATACAGGGCAACATGTAAATGGAGAGTTTTCAATGGCTGTAGTTCAAGCTAATAATCTACTTGAAGATCAGTGCCAAATTGAATCAGGGTGCTTGAGTTTGCAGGATTCTGGTCCATATGGTACCTTTGTTGGAATTTATGATGGGCACGGGGGCCCTGAAACTTCAAGGTTCATCAATGAACACCTCTTTCAAAATCTCAAGAGTAAGCCTTCGAGCCAATTTGAACTGTTTCCTCTCAATCTGTTTTCATGGCTAAAGTGGTTGAATTTTATCTATTTCATACTTGTCTTGTTGTTGTTACCTTTGATATCTTCCGAGAGTGTCAGTATCCAAGTACTAGAATTGTATTACAGTTTACCTGTTATGGAGTGTGGTTACTAATCAAAAGTCTTAAGTATTTACTATGTAAGATTAGAAGGTTCAATATTAATCAGCGCTAGAGCTGCTACAGTTGCTTCAGTAAGAGCTGCTGCCTGTAATGGAAATGATGTTGGAAGTGTTTTTAGTTTCTTAATTCTGTTGCCAGAAATCATGCATATGGCAAACCAATTATTTGGTTATGCAATTTTGGAATTTGCTTTAACAGAATTTGTTCCAGTGACGGCAACTGTCTAGGTTTATGGATTCATATATGGACTGCTGTGTATATTTTTGGCCATTCTGGTCTTCACTCAATTGCTTGCTCTGAATTGTGTAGGGTTCACATCTGAGCACCAATCTATGTCTGTTGAGGTGATTAAGAAAGCATTTCAAGCAACAGAAGACGGTTTCCTCTCTGTTGTGACTAGACAATGGCCCACGAAACCGCAGATTGCTGCAGTTGGATCATGCTGTCTTGTTGGAGTTATCTGCAGTGGAACCTTATATATAGCCAACCTTGGCGACTCAAGGGCAGTCTTAGGGAGACTTGTCAAGTCTACTGGAGAGGTTCTCTCGATTCAGCTCTCTGCAGAACACAATGTGAGCATTGAATCTGGAAGACAAGAGTTGCAAACTTTGCATCCAAATGACTCACAAATTGTAGTTTTAAAGCACAATGTCTGGCGCGTGAAGGGGCTTATACAGGTAACCTATATTCTATCTTCCTAAGCAGTCTCCGTTTTAGAATTGGCTCAGCTCAAAGTATCTATTTTGGTGCTATTATTATAGAGTGTTGTTTCAATTCCAATGTACATGTTACATCTATTATAATTGGGTTACTCATCGAATTCTAAATTTCTTCATACTATGTTTGCTCCCTAATCGCTTACTTCTTTAAGAACTTTAAGATGAGGGTTTTTGTGTCCTTGTATTTTCCTTTCCTCGGAAGTTGTATGAAATTGCTATTCAAGGAGCCTATAGAATGGGTTGTTGTGCATGGCACTTGAGTGATACACATTTATTTGCTTTCACAAATAGCAACTGCATTTTTTGTCAAAGAGTTGGCAAGAAGTTGAGAAGCTTAAATCTCAAGGTCTTCCACTCTTCGTAAAGGCAAGTGATTCTTTCTGGAAGGAACTCTTTCATATACGAGATTATCTGAAGAAACTGAAATCTGTGATTGTTAGAGTTTAGAAACTGAAATCCATGATTGTTAGAGTTTAATCCAACTTGAGAAGTGAATAAATAAATGAGAATTGTTATAAGGAGTATTTTTATAAACAGATGCTTCCTTTTTACCACTCCTTATTTATAGTTTATGTGGTAGAATGATTCCTTTTTTGTGATAAAGGTAGTAGACGTGATATATTTTACTGATTGCTTTTATATTTGCTGGAGACGCTTCGTTATTCTTTTCAATTGATATATTTGTGATATTCACGAGCAGATATATTATCGTCAATGTGTGCCATAAGGCATAAGCATTATGAATATGAGAGTAGCAAGCTTGAGTTATTGTAAGCTGGTGATGCTTTTAGTCTTAACTTGTTAGTAATCAATTTGTAGAAAGTGAGGCCCGAGTAATTTTAACTTCTCCTAGATAATTTTTTGTATTTCTGTGTGATTGCAATGGTGATCTTTCTTTGCTTATGCTGAACTTGTTTTAATATAAAGTTTCTGACTCTATTGACCGTACTACATCAACAGAATATTAGTATTTAGAAATTGACGATCTTTTTCTCTTATTTTTGTGATCATTTCATTGTTCTGCGAGCTCTTCACGGTTGAAGCTCTGGTTTCAACACTAGCACTGCACCGTTGATTATTCAGGATTATGGAATAAAAAAGCATATTGCCAGTTTTATCATGGTTCTCCTTTCACTATTCATGTAATGGTTTAATTATAAATACACGCTTGGGGGCAATGCTACGGTATTATTTCCTGATCTGTGTTGCTATATACTGAGATTTTTACATAAGTTTCAGTGCTCAGTAGCTGTAGCTCTGTTGTACCCTGAATAAGCAGCGACATAAATAGGGTAAAGGGATCAAAACTTCCATATCTCGGATTTTTCATGCAGAGAGTATCTGAAACAATAAGAATGTTCCAAATTTCATTTGAGAACCATAGTTATGCAGGTGTGTGTTTCTTTAGTCCTTAAGATTCGAGTGTCCACTCTTCTCAGATTAACCAACATCTATCATTAAACTTGCCGACTCGCCGTCATGGCACCGAGTTTCTCACTTTGAAGGAGCCTGCAACTACTCAGAGAGCTAATTAAGTGCTGCTAATTTGCTGTATTACCTTCCTATTTTTTGGGAGGAGCAATACAAAATCAGTTGTGTGCTAATAAAAGGCGTTTGATGTCAATTAATGGGATAGTACTTTCTTTAGGAAGCTTGTTTAGTATGGTTATTTCTTGCCTGACTCGGAAAACTTCGATCTACACTCTAAAATGGACTGAATACTTTATTTTGCAGATTTCAAGATCCATTGGTGATGTGTATTTAAAAAAAACTGAATTCAACAGGGAGCCATTATATGCAAAGTTTCGTCTTCGAGAACCATTTGTCAAGCCCATATTGAGCTCCGATCCAACAATCTCAGTGCACCATTTGCAACCTGATGACCAGTTTGTCATATTTGCATCAGATGGTCTTTGGGAGCATCTAACTAACCAAGGAGCAGTAGACATTGTACAAAATCACCCACGCAATGTAAGATATCTGTCCTGTTCATGCTTCATGTCATCTGTTTAGTCTTTTGGTGATTCTACCTACAGTAAGCTGTTTTTCATGAAAAAGTTTATTTCCTGTAAGCAGTGAAAGCTTAATGCTAAGCTCCATCTACAAATGGATAAGATCCCAGCCTAGTCTATAGGAGGTTTTGAAAAGAAAGGAGCAATAATCATTTTCTTGTTCTATCAAGAGGGTGCTATTGCTCCTTTCTTTTTTTCTTTTTATTTATTTACTAGTATTTTACTTACATAGACTTTTTTGTTTACATTATAGAAAAAGAAGGAGAGGTTATTTTCTTGCATTTATTCATGATTGAGTATTCTATTTTGATTTTGTATTTGTTTAAAATTGTAGAAATAGAACTTGTTTCTCTTCTTGCTAATGTTACTATATCTTTTTGATTTTTTTTTTCCAAAAAAAAAATCAAATTTTGACTTCTTCTTATCTCTTATCTTTGAATATCTCTTATCTTTGAAATAATAATATCATTGAAATAAGAAAGAAGAGCTATATTCGAACTTGAATCTTTTGTTTTCTAATTTAAATAATGTAAAAACGGAATGTAAGTAGGCGAGGGGGCGGATGTAGCCAAGTGGATCAAGGCAGTGGATTGTGAATCCACCATGCGCGGGTTCAATTCCCGTCGTTCGCCCATAATTACTCCTATTTTTTTTTTTTTTGTAAAAACGAAGAATTTAATTCGATTTTCTCTCCTATTTACTACGGCGACGAAGNGCTACATAAAAATTAATGGCAAGTTGGCAACAAATATCAATCTCTCATACAGGTGAATAATCATTGTTTGACTGTTGATGGCTTTTAATCCGTTCATTTTACTGGTGGACACCCTGCTTCTTTCCTATACATGATTGGTCACGATAAAAGTTGGTGAAATAGTGAAATAATCTGGTGATGCACTTTGCATCAAAATTTATTACTTCGTCTCTAAATACTTGTATGCAAGGGAGAGGCAATTGGATTATCCTATCTCTTGTTTGTTTTATTTTGATAAAAACAAAATTTCTGTGTTATGGGACTGCCGGGAACTGGATATTAAATATGTTCAAGAGGTGCAATTGAAGGCCTCCTCTTCACTCAAATGCATAGCAGTATACGCCCTTAAAGTAAAATCTGCAGCCACTATGTCAAATGTGTGAAAAATATTATCTTTATCTTGATATTACTTGTCAAGTGTTTAGAAGGGTAGCTTAGGCACAGTGGTAAGAGTTGTTGTCGTGTGACCAGGGGGTCACGGGTTTAGGCTGTCGAAACAGCCTCTTGCAAAAATGTTAGGTAAGGCTGCCAAAATAGACCTAATATAGTCCGGACCTCCCCGGACCTGCACATTGCAAGAGCTTAGTGCACCGGACTGCCCTTTCATTACTTTACAATTGTCTATATATCTCAAAAATTGTTCAATCAAACTTAGGCGCTTGTTTGCCACTTGGCAGGGAATTGCTAGAAGGTTAGTGAAAACTGCACTACAAGAAGCAGCAAAGAAAAGAGAAATGAGGTATTCAGACTTGAAGAAAATTGATCGTGGAGTTCGTCGACATTTCCACGACGACATCTCAGTGGCGGTTGTTTTCCTGGACTCGAATCTCGTGAGCCAGGCTAGCTCAGTCAAAAGTCCTAATATATCTGTAAAAGGAGGTGGCATTAGTTTGCCAACAAAAACTACCCCAACATAAGCTGGTTGGTGCAACTTTATGAAGCTGTTGCAGATGTTGTTGTTGTTGTACTATGTATCTTGTGAATACCAGGTAGCACTTCTAAAAGTTCAAAAGCAGTCCAACAATTTTTTAAACTGTAATCTAACTTAGACTTATACTTGGATTTAGTTCCAGTGTCCAAGAAAGGAACTGGAAGAAAAAGAGTATCTTCACAAATATCAGTTGAGTTATTTCCTTGAAATAATTCCTTATTGCTTCTATTATATAGTTAACCTGGAGGTTGTAAATGCCTTAAGAACCTTATTTATTCTTTATAATGGTATGTTTCTTGCTGCTGTGTTGAGAAGAATTGGAGTTTTCAGATTGTAATATTGCAGTTAATTCAAAAATCAAATTAATTTAAACAAAAATAATCCAGACCAAATAAGTCTTACAGCTAATATTATATTGGACTTGACTTTTTTTAGTGTTTTCTTTGTTATTTCATGAGATATAAATATGAATTAAGTTTTATGAAGATTTCATTTCAGGTGCTAGCTTTCATAATCAAAAGTCAGGTGTTTGTACTTGGACTAAAAAATTCTATGTTAATACCTATTATATTTTTTGTATTATTCAATAGGAAAGGAACGTAAAATTGTTTATAATCGATTTTTTGAGTCCTCAGGATCACAGTGATCCTTAACCATGGATGATAGAAATGGGGGTATTTTTCACTTTTAGCCCCCCACCAAATATTTTTTAAATTCAATAGTCGAAAAAGTGTATAAAATTTATATTTTTTTTTTATATAAAAGTGTGTATATATTATATGGGGATATAAACTAAAAAATGAAGTAGATCTGCTTATAAATTTAAAAAGTAAGTAGGTATTGTTGAGTATAATTCAACCTCAAGCGTTCAGTAAGAATTACGACATGAGTTAAGAATTATCTAAAATCATATAAAGATCAAGATTACGGTATGAGTTAAGAATTATCTAAAATCATATAAAGATCAAGATTACGGTATGAGTTAAGAATTACATAAAATCATATAAAGATTATACCACAGATCAAGACATAAAATCATATAAAGATTATACCACAGATCAAGATTATGGCTCATACTGTAGTCATGTCAGCTCTGATGTCGGAATAATCATTATAATACGATGGTAGCACTTGACTTGTAAGAAATTCCCTGCTCTCCTCTTAGAAATGATCTGTCTAGGATTACTTTCAAAATTGCGAATTCTGTAATAAGACCCTATTCACGGGCATTCTCCGACTTAGAAGATTATCACTCCAAATATTTAGTCAATTGCTAAAGTCACGTGAACTGGGCTAGCCCGGCCCGGCCCTTGACCGCTCTATCTTTGGCCATCTTAAAAAGCTTCCAGCAATTGTAAAAAATAAATAAATGTGAGAACAAATGAAAATTGGCGCAGGATTTATAGCCGACCGGCCGTTAAAATATTTTGAAGCAAGTCGCCCCTTCTATAGGCGACCTACTGTTAAAAAATATTTTAACTTTTGTCATGAATGCACTTTTTCTCGAGGCGATCTTTTTTAAAAAACTTTTGGAATAAATCAGTAGAGAATGAAAGACACACACAAAATCTACAAATATAAAATTAAAGGACCATAAGGATCGACTCCTACCTACATCGTTGACGGTTGAACCCCAACAACAACAACAACAACTTAGTATAATCCCACTTAGTAGGATCTTGGGGGGGGGGATTCAGGGTATAATCCCACTTAGTGGGGTCTGGGGAGGGTAGTGTGTACGCAGACCTTACCCCTACCCTAGGGTAGAGAGACTGTTTTTAAATAGAAACCCGACATCCTTCCCTCCAAGAACTTCCCACCTTGCTCTTGGGTAGACTCGAACTCACAACCTCTTGATTGGAAGTGGAGGTTGCTTACCATCAGAGCAACCCCTCTTGTCTTTGACGGTTGAACCCCAAAAAGAGAAAATTCACAATTGAAAAGTATGCGAAATACATAAAAATATTAAATCACATGACGTGCTATAAAATTTTATGAATACTTGACCATAGAAAAAGTGATTTAAGTTTTGTTCTAAAGTACGAAGAGAAAGAGGTGATCCAAATAAAGAAATGCTTGGGGGTAATTTCATCTTACTCAACTTTTTGCCTGATCACTAAATTTTATAGTAATAAATAATGGATTCCAAATTCATATTTCAAAAGTATAAGATTTAGAATAAGAACATAAAGATTGAACCCATCAAATTAAAATCTGGAATTTATCTATGATATTTCTTGGTGTAAAATATATGTAGAAGATGCAATTTTCTACTATAAATTAACGAATTCAAAATCTATTCTTTAATTCAATAATTTATTTATTTTATTTCTCAGCTAAGCAATTGAAGATGAGCAAGAAGAAGAGTGGATGGTGGAGTTTGAATCAAGGGAATTAAAGATTGATTAGAATATCCATCAACAACATAAAACATATTGATTAGAATATCCATCAACAACATAAAACATTGTTCAAAGAACAAGAAAAGTGATAGAAATCTTTGCAAAGTCTATTGTTGGTTTTCCAGAATAAGTTGAACAAGGAAGAAATAATAAAGCATATTAATTTTGTTGATTGTAAGGGTAGAAATCTGACCAGACGAGAATCTGCGTAGAGAGGAACGGTGAAAGATTATTTGGGCCGAAGTCGTGTCCATACAACGCTATAATGACACGCACCTCCGCCTCGTACATTTAGAATGCTTGAACGGCGAATTGAATGTTACGACATCTCAAAGCGTCAACCAGTAACACGGTCAAATAACTTAGGTACTATGATTAATGACCGTTGGGTAAAGAGGAATACTTAGTATAAACTAAGTGAGAAGAAGACGAAAGGGGGAAGAAAAACATATTCACATACAGACATATTGGCAGAGAAGAATAGGGACCTCCATCCCTTTCTCTTCGCTAAGGAGAAAGAAGCATGGAAGCTCAGATCCTCAGTGCCTATCGTTATTCTCGTCATATCAAATGTATGGGAGTCAGTGATGGGAATAAACCCCTTACCAAAATAATATTCACGGTAATAAAGCGGAATAATAATGTAGCACCGAGATACGGTAATTAACAAGAATAAAAGAGTAACAATGACACCAAGATTTTTACGTGGAAAACCCTTCTGAATAAGGGAAAAAACCACGACCCCGAGAGGAGCAACTGATATCACTATAGTAAGGAATTTTACACTTTGTAGGTCGGAGATAAATACTCCAAAGACCACTACAACACTCAAAAGAAATAACCCTCTTTTGATATTCCCACCTCACTACAATATCGCTCACTCTCTATTTTCCTCACAGACTATTTTCTTATACCTTGTCTGTGAAACCTCACTCTTTCTTTCTCTCTTTGTTGGTGTGAAGAAATGAGAGTTGAAGCTCTCCTTTTATAACCAAAGCTTCACCCTCTAAAACCTACAATATTTGATAATTTACACACACTTTTCACAATTCAACAAAGTTGGCTACCAAACCAAAGAAATTCAACAAGGTTGGCTACCAACCAAACCAAGTCACCAAGGTTGGCTACCAAACCAAAGAAAACTCTTATTAGGCACATGCCTAATACTTCTTCAATGAGATGGACATCATCAGTCAGCGTGGTAAAGAATCGGTGACTCCCCTTTTTATCTATGTTTTCTTCACTATTATTCAATATTACGAAAATCACCATTCATTTCTAACCTAATGGAATTCAATCATGTTATAATTAAATCTTATGTTCAGTTATGTTTGCTCATTCTTGTCTTCTATCTTCGATTTAGAGGGTGATCTTTGGCTATGATTTACCTAAAATCTTCTTACTTAATTAGTTTAACAAAAAGCTTAACACTTTTTGATCAAAAATTAATACACTAGATTCTATTTATATCCTTGTTATTTGTGATTCCCGATCATGTCTTGTACTCCAAACATCCACCTAGCAATTTATATTACTAATATTTTCATGTTCTATTGTTATTAGTGGTTTTACTACAATTTATACATATTTAGTTATGTCGTGACTGAATAATATTAAGCCATTTTATGTCGGGAAAAAATAATTTTCAAATTTACACCGAAAATATAACCACAACTAATATTACTATACTTGAGCTGAACACAGAGTTAAAAGTGAAATACGAGTCGGACCAATTTTTAAATTAGAATTACTTAAATATTCTAATTCAGTGCTTGAATCTTGCGGGAAGGTTTCCCATTAAATATTTCTACTCTCTAATTACCAAATGTGTCAATGTTTCTGGGACAAATGGAGTACTTTTTAATATGTTTATTTAAAAATAAAAAGATTTCTGTCTGGAATAACTTTATTAACACCAGTATCCAAACTAATTTATTTTATATTTTTGGAATTGAGAGAGCTTCTTTATTATTTTTTGTAAGATTTAAATATATGAAGTGTCAGAATGTCAGGCATATTCCTCCTACCGCAAGAAGACGTCTATGCATTCGAGTAAGTAGTCAGTCAGTCAAAATTAGAAATTAAACTTTCTATATTATGACTTGTACTATATACCTTGGTAAAATCTAAATCAAGGCTCAATTATCAACAACCCCATCATGGGATTTTCAGGAAATAGAATGATTATTAAAATTTATTCACACTCGATATTTTTACTAAATCAATGGATATATGATAGTACATATTTTCATATTGTACATAGTTAATATTAAATATAATTAATTAATATATATTTGATGTTGATTTTTACTTAATCATAATAAATTAATATGATTTAGTGTAAATATTGAGTATTGCTAAATTGGTACGTGATTATTTAGGGAGAAATTTAAAAATAGACAGAGTTATAACTGGTCATTCAAAAATAGCCAGTTTTAAAAGTAATCGAAATTTAACCTTTTTTATGTAAAAATAAATCTGAGCGAAAACACTGTTCAAAACCCGGAAAATACGCCCGTATGTTATACTGGAGTTCTAGCATAAGTATGCTTGTACTCCAGCATATTATACGGGAGTTCCAGGATAACTATGCTCGAACTCCAGCATAATATGTTGGAGTTCCAGCATAAGTACACTAGAACTCTAGCATAATATACTAGAGTTCCAGCAAGTATAAATGTCCAGTATAATATACTGGAGTTTGGAGCACCGGTGCTTCAGTCTCCCGTATATTATACAGGAGTCAGCAAAGTATACCGGTCCAGCATAATATGCTGGAGTTCGTACACATATGCACCGAACTCCCATATATTATGCGGGACCGGTCTCTATTACAGCAAAATAGTAGCTATTTTTTATTGACTTTGTAAACGGTGGCTATTTTTGAATGACCAATCCGAAAACTGGTTATACCG